TTTCCTAAGTCCTATTCAAAGTAGACCCATTGAAATTGACCTAAATTTGTCCTGTTGATTAATTTCAATGAGTCTACTCTGTGTAGGACTAGAATTGGATATATCTCATAATGTGTATTCCCTAAGATGTCTTATCAGGTAGTATTTGGTGAAGTACTATTGTTCTTTAAGTAAGGTCTCTAATCCACAAGCTCTCAACAAGTTTATATTTGAATATTTCATTGACTTGTAGAAGCCAGGTTGAGAAATCTTATTTTCAAATGGCATTGCTCAGTGTTCTAGGGCATCTTGGTATTTATAACATCTTGGACAACCTGTTTCATTACACTTATGAAACTTCAGGGATTAGTCAAGTGGGACAGAAAAGACTACTACATAAGCTCTATTAGTTTTGCTAAAACAGTTTATAAACAAGAAAACTGATCATGTCTTCATGTCTGGAGGTGGCTGATTCTTTTTCTGCCCCCTCCCCCTTTCTGTCTTTGACCAGGATGTCTTTCAGGTGATTAAATGCGTTTTTTTTTGCTGTATCTTTTACCATTTTTCATTTGTTTTGTTCAGAAAAGAAATTTAATCTCAACAGTAACTCTGAAAGGCAATTGCAGATATTAATGCTTGCTATCAAGTTTATTGAGCCGTTGCTTCCTTCAAAAATAGATCAATCAGGAGTGCTTTCCTGGTAGACAGAGCCATGAATTTATGTTGGATCCTTTCACGTGTTTCATATAGACTGTGTAGTCTATATGAATGCAAGAGTTGGCTTTATGTATGGAGGTGACATGGCCAAATAAATCCTAACTTAGAGAGTAAACATGCAAGATGGTGCTACTGTCAGTCCTAAACAGGTATCTATTGTAGTGGGACATACCACCCTGAAAATGAGCATATCAGACCAAAGGTATGGGTTACCTACCCCATTGTGACCTGAATTAGCAGCTACATGTTCAGCTTAATTTGCAAATTGTTTCTGTAGCTTTTCTAGGGAACTGAAATAAGCAAATTATTATCAGGTATGCTATTTGGGGGAGGATCTCAAATGCTCTTCTGATAAATTTCTGCTCTCATGTTTGCTTAGGAGGTATGGCCTTCAGAGCTCAAGCTGGAAGGGTAGCACCAGTAGAGCACCTCTGAAAGTCTCAAAGATTTGTTATCTTGTTTGTTCATGCATTCAGAACTATTACTGAAAGAGAAACTGGTTTTCAGATTCCATGAGAATTAATTCAGTGCTGCTGTGTGAGAGCTGATCCATTACCTGTATTTGGTGCGCGCTCTAGGTTTATATATATAAACCTAGTTATTTGGGATGTATGCAATTTACAGTGCATTTTGCCAAGAAAAAGTGAACTATTTCATAAATATTCCAGGCCACCCTCTTCAGTGCTATCTCAAGAATTTGAGCGATCTAATCCCTTTCTCTCTTCCTCATCGCCACCACATCAACTGTGGATGTCACTTGTGAAGCATGCTCACAACTTCTAGACTACCTTTGGTTCACTGGAATAAAATACTTTATAAAATATTTGATCAGTAAGCTAGTACATCTCAGTAAGCTGTGCACCTCTTGCTGGTGTAAATTGTATAAATATTACTTTGAGGAAAAAGCTAATATTGTCAGAAGATAATATTTTAAATTATCTACCTAGGATATGGAACTTGACAGCTGGTAATGTAAATGGATTCTCCACGCCCTCACTACAGCTAAAAAGACTAATATTAATCCACTGGGAAGATAAATCCATGGCCCCCTTTAATCAATGGATAGAAGATATGACAATTCTTACAACATAAGAACGGATAGCATATAGACGTGAATGGACAAATATTATGACATTTGGAAGGCATTGATAAAAAATATAGTAGGTTTTAAAATAATATTAAAAAGGGTTTTAAAGAAACATATATGTATTAAAATAATAATTTCATTTATATACCTTTCTATTAGACAAGCATGTACAGTATATAATTATAGTGTTATGCAACTTTTGTTTCCTTTTTTATATTTTTCAATTTATTTTATACTCTCCCAGACAAAAATTGAAATGCTACAGAAGCATACAGTTATCTGAACCGAGACTTTTATGTTTTGTACCTTTGTAATTCAATTTCTTTCTTTCTTATATTTTAAAGATAATATTTGCAGCTTTCTAAGCATTTTAAAAAGACGGGATATACTGTGTAAGGTATATTATAAATAGCTTTATTTCAAGGCTGTAGAATCATTTGCACTGAAGCCTTTACAAGATCTGTTGGTGTTGTAAGAGAAATACTTGTAACTGTTGCTTAACAAATTATTAGAGGTGCGGTAGCTGGAATGAGAAAGGAATCTATGAAAAAGTAAGCAGTATTATTCCTGCCGCTTTTAGTGGTCAGTTTGCTGCCTTTCATTATTTTTGGGCTTTCCTCTCTGATTTTGAAAAGAAAACATTAGCCTGCAAGTATGAAAAGCAGCAGATTGACATCTCTTAAAGCAGTAGTAATTACGGTATACTGTTTATTTTTCCAGATATTGAACCTTTTTATAGTAAAATATCCTGAGCCATCCAGTTTGCTGCCAAAAATTGAGCAGTTTCGCCTTGTGAAAGGCAGATAATGATCTTGTAAGAAGAAGTCAGCGAAGCCTGAATAAATTAGCACAATCTGTCATTGGGCTATCTTCTATGGAAAAATAAACACAGCAAAGTCTGCTGCAGGCGGCTGCCTATCTTCAAGATGCTTGCTTGGTACGTGTATCTCTGAACAAGTCTTCTGACTACTTTTCTGTGTTTGGGCAATAAGCCCTTAACATTGGGAGAACTTGGCTCAAATGTTGTGCTTGGAAAGCACTTCCTAGTGTGACACAGGATGTTCTTGATTCAGAAGAGCTGGTCCAAACCAGTACACTAATCAAAATGCATTGGAGTCAAGCTTGTGTAACATTTTGTATAGCCTGGTTACTAGAGTGCTGTCATTCGGAGGGTGGCAGAGACAAGTTGGAACTTTTTGAGAAATTGAATGTTATCAAAAGAACATATAACACAAGGAATAAACAATGAAATGGTTTAATTATGAGGCTTCTGAGAGGTTGTGAGATAAATGCTGCTGCTGTGCCATGTGACTTTTGGCTTCAAGGGAAGTAGGGGAATTTCAGTTGGTGTGTGTGTAAAACAGTGTTTCCCAACCTTTTTTGGGCAAAGGCACACTTGTTTGATGAAAAAAATCTCGAGGCACACCACCATTACAGCCCCGTGACGTCAGCGCGCAGCGTCACGCCGGGAGGGACGCACGAAAGTGTAACTTTCAATTTTTTTCCCTCCCCCTTGCCGGGGAACCTCCAAGCTTTGGGGGTGGGGGGGGGAGGAGGCAGCAAAACGAGGGACTGAGGGACCCTAACCCTAACCCTAACCCTAACCCTCACCCTCACGATCACCCGGGAAAGCATGCGAACGAGGAGCCCCCGTGTCCTGCTCCCGGCAGCGGACGGCACAAAGCGAGGAGGCCTGGACAAGGCAGCACGCTCCCCGCTCTCGCTGCATCGGGGCTTTTCTCCTCCAGGCCGCTTTCGAAGTCCCCTTCTCCGCTCCCAAGAGCCGGAGCCGCTGCTTCCAGGCCCTGTCCGAGCCCCGACTTGTGGCCTCACTTCGAGGAGCGCCTGTTGCTGGGGACGGGGCTGCATCCCCCTCAGCCGCCGCCTCGCTTCCTTCCAGGAGACCCGACGGCTCCCCCTCTCCCGCTCGCCCTCCTGCGCCCGCAGCAGACCGAGACCTCCCCGCCCCCGCCCGGCTCGGCCCTACCTGGGCGCCTCCAAGCCCGGCCGGCTCCGCGTCGCGCTCCACGCCGGGCAGCTGCAGCAGGGGCTGCGCGGGGGCGCGCGGCGGCCCGGCTGAGCGCGCCCCGGAGCCGCCGCGCCGTCGCTCGCGAGTCCCTCCGAGAGCCCTCGGGACTGACTCCGGAGTCGCGAGGCGGCGCGTCGCCCAGGGAAGGGGCGGCTTCCCACAAGTCCTCCGGGAAGCAAACGCCCTCGCCCGCCTCCCTCCAGGCAACATCTCGTGGCACAGCAGGCAACATCTCACGGCACACTAGTGTGCCGCGGAACACCGGTTGGGAAACACTGGTGTAAAAAATCAGAGGAGGGAGAAATCTACCTTTTTGTTCATTTTGGCTGTATTAGGGAACAGGAAATTTGCGGGTGTGGAACTCAGCAGGACACGAGCCTATGGAATGGGGAAGGGATTCCAGAATCAAACTCAAGGGAGAGAACACAAGAGGGACTCCAGTTTGCCTGGACAGTTATTGACTTATTTAGAAAACAATGGATGGTCATCTGTCATGGATGCTTTAGTTGAGATTCCTGCATTGCAGGGGTTGGACTAGATGATCCTCAGGGTCTCTTCTAATGCTACGATTCCATGATTCTGTGATACCTTGCACCTTCAGGGATCGCTACCTGGTGGGTTATAATAGCCAATCTATGTGGGTATATTGGTGTAAAGAGCCTCAGCATTCATGCTAGATAGAAATAATTGTCTTGAGGGAATGTTATGATTATTTTATTGTAAGCTGCTTTAAATATGGAATGAGGATTATACATATTTTAAATAATATCTCAATGGCATTGTACATGAAAAGAATCATTACAGTGTGCCACATTTTTTTAAAAAAGGGAAACAGGTTTTTCTCCCCTTCCCCTTTTGCTTCAGGTAGGTAGTCGTGTTGGTCTGACGCAGTTGAAATATATCTATATATATAAAATTGTCCAGTAGCACCTTAGAGACCAACTTCTTTCGTATCTGAAGAAGTGTGCATGCACATGAAAGTTTATACCAAGAACAAACTTAGTTGGTCTCTAAGGTGCTACTGGACAATTTTTTAATAGCTATTTCCCCTTTTGCTGTATGCTGTTGCATCCAAACATAGGCCTTTGGGTGCTTAATATTCACTTGTCGGGAATGGTGGGCTTGGTCCATTGAATTATCTTATGTAAATAGAAGTTGAAACACTATATTTCTCCCCTTTCCAAACAGATTATCTGGACGGATTTTATTTTTCATATAAAAGTTATCTATCACCAAGAGCAACATGCATTAGAGGAAAGTAACCTGCTGGTGCAGAAGAAAAATTACAATGAATAGTGAAGAAGAATTCTATGATGCCGTCACAGGTGAGTAGAGAATGGGGCATTTCTGTCTTTTTAAAGGAAATTATACTTTACTATATTAAACATTTAGGGAAAGTTTGAGAAGGAATCCTGTCTGTTTTGAATAATAGATCTCTATACTTTTGTGGCTTTATCTTAAATACCCAAGCTTGCTTAATAGTAAATGTGCATAGGATTGCTCTGTGCATTTCATGAATATGCTACATAGCCTAATATTGTGTCTTAAGTTATTGTAAGTTAAAATGCATGTTTTGATGGTTAAGGCAGTAAAATAAGTTTAGGTTTTCCAAAGTAAGTGTTGCTTATACGTACAGTATTTCAATCCCCTCTCCCACCCTTACTCCAAAAATCAATTCTCCCCAGGAAAAAACCCAAGTTGTTTCCACAGTGGAATCAATAGTCAGTCGGAGAGGAAAAGTTAAAAATGAAGGCTTAAGAGTGAATTGTATTGGTTGAGATTCTTACAGCTTATAGTTCATGAGGAAGAACATTGTAGGTTGGAACCCTGAAATGTGAATTCTGGTGAGGGTAGACATTCCCACAGGGTTGGGAAACTGTGTCTTTCAAGCTGTTATCGGACTTCACCAGCCCCATCCAGCATTTCCAGTATTCAGGGCTGATGGGAGTTGGAGCTCCAGGCCCCATTTACCATTTACAGAAATACAGTGGTACCTCGGGTTACATACGCTTCAGGTTACAGACTCCGCTAACCCAGAAATAGTGCTTCAGGTTAAGAACTTTGCTTCAGGATGAGAACAGAAATCGTGCTCTGGCGGCGCAGCAGCAGCAGGAGGCCCCATTAGCTAAAGTGGTGCTTCAGGTTAAGAACAGTTTCAGGTTAAGTACAGACCTCCGGAACAAATTAAGTACTTAACCCGAGGTACCACTGTAAACAGAAATGTATTCAACCATTCTAATAAAATATTTTCAATTTGGCTATTTTCCTGACTTTTCCTTTCTACCAAAATGGAAAACTGAGTTGTAATGGCCATCTGATCAGGGTGGTGACTCATAAAAGGAAGATAAGTAGGTATTATATAAGAGTATTGTTTTAGAAGGAGCAGACACAACTCGAAAAACAGGGAGCTGGAGTTTCCAAAACTGTTTGGAAACGGAGGGAAAGGCATGGACTTGAGCAATTTACTAGAAACTTACTGTCTAAGGACTAGAGCAAACATATGGGCGTGGGCAGGAAGGTCAGCCTGCCCCCATCAAGCAAATACAGTGGTGCACGTGATGTCATTTTGAGCATCTGTGCATGCGCGAGCGGCAAAACCCGGAAGTGGTACCTCTGGCATTCCGTTACTTCCAGGTTGCCTCGGAGCGTAACCTGAAAACGCTCAACCCAAAGCTACTTCAACCCGAGGTATGACTGTAAATAGAAATACTTAAGTAACTGACCAATTGCATCACATATATCTCAGTTCTGCCCCCCCCCCAACATAAAGCCTCCCCCCCATGAATCCTGGCTACGCCTATCAGCAAATTTGCATTATATACATGTTTACTACTAGAAAAAAGGCAAACAGATTTTTTTTTGGATTGGAAATACATTGCTTGTGTTTTTTGGGAAACTCCTAGTTGCAGATATTTTTGTCCTCTAGACTTTAAACCATGAAGCAGTGGTTGTTGTCACCTGCCAAACATAGTGGTTGTCAGGGTCTGTCTTGTTCCTCCCTCTGCTCTTCTCCTCCCCTCCCCCCCGCCCCATATTCCATTGACTATTTCTTCGTGAGACTATTTCTGTAAATAAAAGTATATATGTAAAAAAGCAACTCTTACTGTAGTTGTTGACATAAGTAATTATGCTTCAGGGAATTCAGAGGGGGACATAACCATACCAGTCCACATATTGTTTGTAAAGATCCACTTTGGTGGATGGGAGATTGCCTGCTCTTGATGTGGTTACACTCCCTTTTATGTCAAATGTTTTGGTTATTTTGGATGAATACAAAGTCAACTTACTACAAGCCAAAGGATTGCTAATAAACGGCTTTTGGGCATGTTTGTTACTCCAGAGTCCTAGGCATGTCTACTCAGAAGTAGGTACTGTTGAGGTTAATTTGTCTTACTCCAGTAAAGAGTGTAGTTTGCAGCCATAAAAGCAGCATCAAGGAATTGTCTCTGACTTTCAGTAAATTTGCTTCCATTTCAACTTACGTAATTCTGGCAGTCGTCAACAAATTCCACCACACTTATTGCCAGCAGGCGGCTCTGTTAATTGTATTCATCTCCTAAAATAAGTGAGCCACTGATCTTGCTCTGCTTCAAGAACCTACGAATGACATGTAACCTTATTTTACACTCTTGGCAGCATTGTAGGTTGCATTAGGTGTTAGATTCCTTGAGCCAGTGGAATTTTAATTGCTATCAACACTAACAATAATTCTTTTCACAGAACACTAGAATAAAGTTCAAGTTTTAAGGATAGGTTGTTCTTTGGCATTTTTTGCACAGACCTTTTCATCTTTTTCCCACATGGAGCATCAAGTTGTTTCCTAAGTCCTATTCAAAGTAGACCCATTGAAATGTTATATAGTGTCTTGCTTTGTTTTATCTTGTAATACTTAACACCAACTGTTACAAGGTAGGTCAGTATTATGTCAAAAGAGACAATGCACGTAATTTTGTAGACCAAGAAAATCTTTTTAAAAAACGATTAAATCATCAAATTACAGATTGGAAGTGGGGATCTGAGGGACCAGTTTACCTAATGTCATCTAGTAAGTTTCTGGTAAAGTTGAGATTGATTGGTAGCCTCAGCATTTAGCCACCAGCTGCATCAAATACTTTATTAGTTCATCTCCTTGAAAGCTAAATAAATAAATCCCTGTCCCACCATGAGTTAAAGTTAAAACCAGTTATGAGGTTTGGAGGGAAAGGTGTAATTAATTCTAAACTTGTATAGTGCTCCAGAATGGAGCATTCTGAGCAGTTTGCAATACATGAAATAATAACAGACATCAAATCTACCGTAATTTATAGATTAGATAATAAACAGTCTCCTTGGTTGATTTTGATTAACAGGAACAGATGTGGGTATATATGAGAGATGGGTCAAATTCTGTAGGGCCAGGTTGCATAAATCAAATAATTCAGAGGATCATTTCTGCACAAAGTCATCACAAAGGAATAGAAGGCATGCAGGGTCATCAACAGCTCTGCTCAGAAGCCATAGCGGAGCGGATGCAGGGCTACTCCATAGGTGGGGCTAAGAGACCAACAGCCGTTGTCGCATATTATCCATGAATTTTTCCACCCCATCTGGTCACTGACAGAACTTGTAACTAAGAATATATACCTGTGTACCTATTTCTTTCTTTACTTATCAATCCATTTTCCTTCTTTATCATGGTTTTTTTAATTGCTGGCAAGGACTTTTCATGTCTTTTTTTTTTTTAAAAAAAAAAATACTGTTCTGGAAGTCTTTTTGGCTAAAGAGTGGGCTACCTTTTTCTGATACTGTCTCTGTCACAACCTAAAAGAGTCCCATGATAATGCTTTTTAGGAGAACACTACAGTTCTCACAGTGCTGTACTTTTTGCATTCTCCCCTAACAGAACTTCTCCTTGACTCTGAAAACAGCACTTCATACAACCTTTCCACAGTTTTGCTTCTCTGTTACAGGTAGCAGCCGTTTTAGATGTGTCTAATATGTGCGCAACCGCACAAACACACATTGCGCCGAACTCGGAAGTGACCCCAAAATGTCTCAAAAAGGGGCAGAACGGGGTGTTTGCAAGCTTTTCCAATGGTGTTTCAAATATACGCGATTTCACTTTTCATGAGGCTCAGTTTTATGTTGTGGCAGCTCTTCCTAATATTGCCTATAAGGGAATGGCATTGTGTATAAAAGCAAGCAGGGAGGCACCCAGTTGCTTATGGAACACATCTTGTGCTTGAGTTTCTAGGTGGAGATTAGTTTCTACCTGGTTTCTAACTGGTTGGAGCTATTACTGAGGAGATGAGTTAATCTTTGATGGTTGACTCATTAAACATTTCAGGTCAAGTGTCTCTAGATCCTGGTTTGTTTGTTGTATGAGGCAACCATGAGAGATATGGAAGCTTCTATTCTATTTATTTATTTTGTTACGTTGAATTCATTTATTTGACACCTCTCCTTTGCTTTTATACACAATTCTGTTCATGTCTTTCTGTGTACCAACTGCACAATCTTAGCTAAGCCCTAGCTGTGCTTTGAGAACTCTGATATAAAGTGATCAGTTACTATATATATATTGACCAAACTGCGGGAGGCAGTGGAAGACAGGAGTGCCTGGCGTGCTCTGGTCCATGGGGTCACGAAGAGTCCTAAACGACTAAACAACAACATATATATATATATATATATATATATATATATATATATATGAGATAGTCCAGATAGTCCATGAGTCTAAGATCTATTAATTCAAGTGAAATGCCACTCTGACTTTTTTTATAAGGCATTGTTCCCCAAGTGCCATCTTATGACTGGCACCGTAATTCACCACAGTGATTCCTCTTAACACAGCGATTCCTCAGACTGCTGAGTTGCACCATTTAGTTCTGGCTTACTTTTTAGGAATATAATGGTATTGAACAGGGATGTAGAGGAACCATGTATATAAGATGGAAGATGATGATTAAATAGCTAGTAATTGACCAGATGTTTGTGGGATTGTAGTTAATAAAACTACTGAGATTCCCATGGACTGCAAGAAGATCAACCGTATCCATTCTTAAGGAAATCAGCCCTGAGTGCTCACTGGAAGGACAGATCGTGAAGTTGAGGCTCCAATACTTTGGCCACCTCATGAGAAGAGAAGACTCCCTGGAAAAGACCCTGATGTTGGGAAAGATGGAGGGCACAAGGAGAAGGGGACGACAAAGGACGAGATGGTTGGACAGTGTTCTCGAAGCTACAAACATGAGCCTGACCAAACTGCGGGAGGCGGTGGAAGACAGGAGTGCCTGGCGTGCTCTGGTCCATGGGGTCACGAAGAGTCGGACACGACTAAACG